TTCAAAGGTCCTTTCACTGGATGTGATCTTAGTTTCAAAGGTCCTTTCACTGGATGTGATCTTAGTTTCAAAGGTCCTTTCACTAGATGTGTTCTTAGCTTCAAAGGTCCTTCACTAGATGTGATCTTAGCTTCAAAGGTCCTTTCACGGGATGTGATATTAGCTTCAAAGGGCGTGTACAAATGACTGGCAGCCGGTCAAGGACCTTAGTTAAACTTGGGCATAGTATACTTGGCCTTGAATTTGGAACTGCTGGCCTTTTATCCGGGCATTTAATGTTTTGAAATCCTTGACCGGGAGTCACCAAATTCGAAGCCGAGTATACCATGCCCAGGTTTAACTACGAGGCAAATTTGATAAATAAAATATCTTCGATCTTCCTTACAATATATTTAACAAGTTCATGATTATATACTTTAAAAAAAACTATCTGAATACAGCGGGGTTAGAAGCTACCAACAGACATTTAAGTGGGAAAAAAAAATTCGATTCTACTTTGCCATACCCCTGAGACATCCGCAGAGCTGAGGCGTCGTATGGACTTCGGACCTGACGGCGATTAAATCCTTCTGCCCTTGGTTGTACGAATTACGCAAGAAAATGTTCTAGCCGAAGCATCAGGGGAGAGACCAGCCGGCCCCCAGACCATATCGGCTAATCCCTTGCATCTCTGCCACGCACGGAATCNCCCCAGACCATATCGGCTAATCCCTTGCATCTCTGCCACGCACGGAATCGGTTGAAAATATAATGTAAAAAAGTCTAGTCTATCCGGTGCATTGTTTTCACTGCTATTGTTATGCTGATTCACCTGAAACCGTGGTCCACTGGAAAAAACTTGGGCTTCCGTGACACTGAGTCAAGTCCGGTTAAGCTAAGTCAGTGTCTGGATGGGTGAGCTGGAAGTTATGCCTCCTAAAAAATTTTTTTTTCGTTAGTCTAAATAAATAAAAAGTCGTTTTAGTTTACGTAAAGAAATTGTCGAAAATATAACTACCCGAAGGCATAGATAACGCAATTTTTCAACAAGGTATCCCTTTTTTGAAAAGGGAGAACTTCTAGTTGAACTAGGTATATCCGTAATCTTTGAATATATGTTGGTTGCTTCGCTTTGAAAGCCATTTGGAAGCATTTTTTTTCAATTCCTACCACTTCTAGTATGAAAAAAACATAAAGATTCTGTATGACTGTGAAAAATTGAATGTACAGACTAATTCAGTCCTGGACTCTCATTCCGTTCGCTACAACAAGCTGAACAATTATTTGGCATAGGCATATGCTTGCCGTGTTGTGATCGGTGTATGGACAATACCCTGGCTTAACGAGGACCGCGTGAGATTCGACGTATGATATGTAGCGCTATCAAAGAAATGGGAGTGATAACAAAATGATACGACTTTCTGCATACCATATACTACTTATTTAAAACTGTTTATTCGGGATCCGGCGTTTAATCGATTAAATACAGTACTACGATCGTATTTATGCAAAAAATAAATAAATGAATAAATAAAATTGAAAATTAGAAGGAAAAAAAGAAAGAAAAAAAAAAAAAGAAAAAAAGAAAAAAAAGAAAAGAAAGAAAGTTGTACGAATGCATACATGTAAAGCAGTAAAAGCCACGGTCATATGTTTCAACATATGTCACCTAGATCTAGTAACTGTAACGATGTACGGCAATCATTATACAAATTAATATGTCTTAAAATAACTGGTTTTGAATATATGTGAATAATGAATGGCTAGAACTGTGGTGAAACAATGATAGTTACATTCTAGTTCGTTCCCTCGCTCAACCGAACATAATTTATCATTTAATATACTACACAGACTTTAGGAGAGTGTCCACACGACAGCGCGTGCGTGCTTTATTGCATGAACTCTGTATCATAGAAAGAATATATTACACTCATTGGTTACTAATACTGTTACAGGACTAGCAATGCACTGGTTCAAGCTAAAATGAAATAATAAAGTGGTGACAAATTCATTCATTATAATTAAGTGTTTTTAAAAGTGCAGGATTGGCAATATGTATAATGTTAGCATAATAATCAGCTTACTTTACTTTTAAGACCCACATCATAATTTCCTTTATGAACTAATTTCCCTTACATTTATTATTTATTTTAAAATTTTCACGACGCAGCAAGGCCGTTGAACGCGAATGCCTTATTACACAACCTCAGCTCTTAAGTATTAGCGTCTCTTAATTCCCTAGTGAATCCCCTTGCATTCCAACTGTGCCTATTCGCTAGTTAGTAAACAATGCTAAATACATGTGTGTTGATCATCACAGTGAATGAGCAATCTAAGCGAACGCTGTAAAGAAAGACTTGAAAAAATGATTTCAAGCTTCAACGGGAATCGAACCCATGAACTCCGCGATGCCGGTGCGATGTTCAGTACCAACTGCTGAAGCCAATCCTGTTGGTGAGCGGCCATTTTTGGTTTTGAATATAGTACAGATCTATCAAAAGAAATATATAATCTACTAAGGGACATTGTCAATGTTGAATCCTAAAGACTAGTTGGAAACATTTTCTTCTTAATTCTCTTACTCGTAGACCATAAATTATTGGGTTAATAAAGGAAGCTAACTGCACAAATGTCAAACCCCAAGGACGCAAGAAAAGAAATACAGAATTTGAGAAACCAGAACCTAGCACTCGTTTCAACAAAAACGTACATAACAATGGAATAAGAGAAACTAAAAAGCAGCCTAGAAGGAGAGCAGCTGTTATGGCTCCTTTGTAGTTTTGTTGGGTGTGTACATTATTCATGTTGACATTTTGCTGCTGCTGACCTATTTTTCTTTGCCTTCTTATGGCAACAAAAATGCAAACATACCAGTAAACCATTGCACTGGTTAAGAATATGCCCAAGGGAATATACAAAATATCGATATACCAAATGTCTTCACCAAAAGCCAGAAGGGCAAAAAGCAGTATTGATACAGTCATGTTTAAAGACCAGATTACTATGGTTGCATAAGTGAGTCTCTTGACTGTGATTCGTGTTGGGTATTGGTATGGATGGATAATGGCTACATATCTCTCGTATGTTACAAGCGCAAGTTGAATGGAAGCAGTGATCCCAAAAAAAAATTGAGAGGAAATATAACCATTGTTTATATCACAGTTCATGCTGTTTGTTTTTAGCTGGGATACTCCTCTCGCTATGAACAAAGGTTGACAAAGTAGTCCTACCATCAAGTCAGCTAAGGCTAAATAGGCCAGAACTATGACACGCTCAATTTGAAGAGACGGATTCTTCCAAACAAGGAAAATAATCAGAGCGTTGAAAAATATGGTGAATGGCATCGTGATGAAGTTGACAGTAACGGCCACGAGAGTTGAGACTTTAGCTGCTGCTTCAAACGAGGACGAGTCCCATGATGCTAGTGGTAGCTTGATGGGACACTGGACAAGTGTGGCATTATCTGTAATAGATGTATTCACTGGATCCAAATATGACAAGCTTAAAAAGACATTCATGTTGTTAAATGGCGCTTCTTCTTGTGTAGTTGGGCTGTTTTCTAGTTTTATCGCCAGCAGCCTTTACTTTGCCACAAACGATATTTTCTTTACTGTGATGTCGTTAAATGGCGAGACTCTTGTTTCTTCTTCTGGTGTAGTTCGGCTGTTTTCTAGTTTTATCGCCAGCAGCCTTTGCTTTGCCACAAACGATATTTTCCCTAGGGTGGAGTGGTAGTTCAACTGAGCCGGGGAAGCCGTAATGTTAGGATAAAGCTTCGATACATTTGACAATTTAATCGTCAGTCGGTTCTTGTATGTGATAGCCAGTTATATAAGGATATCGTGAAGAATGTGGGATGTTAAATGCGATATTTTTCAGGAAGCTAGGGATTTGGGTGATGTGCGTAATGAACCGAATAGATGGCTCAAGAAAGAATAAGCCGCTCAGAATCATTCAATGTATATAAAAACAGAATGAAACGGAAGAGGGCAAAATAATTGACTGAAAAGGACAAAAAATAGTATTCAAACGCGGTAAAATATTTTCCCCTAATTATTTTGTTCGCCGACCCTTCTGATATATTAACGAAATAAATAAAATAAATGGGACATTTTATAGAACACATTATACAATACATAGCTGCGCTTCCCAATCTTTTGTTTGTCAGTGGAGGGCTTTACGGAGAGCCATATCCAGGCCCCATTGGCACGTAGCTTACGTTAAACATACATATACTTTATTTAACATAGAAAAATTATAATTGATATTGAATATTTATAGCAAATTAACAAGTTCACAAATGCATACTATTTACGATAACAATTAAGGATAACCTAGGTAAATAGTTAAAATGAAAGAAGAAAACAAAATAAAATAAGAAAAAAAGTTATAAAACGATTGATTCTTATTTTCACAGCACTGATTATTTACCTAAGCACCTTGTCAAACTTTACCAGTAAAATTTGTATGGTCGTGGGTTTTATCTCGTGCGCATCTTTTTCAGCTGGCCGAAGTCCTAGCCGAAAGGATTAATCGTAACAATTTAGAAAATTACCAGCATAGTTTATGTTGAGTTTGTGATGATTTTTATCAGCGATAATAGATAAACTAAAGATGTTAGGTTCAAACGTGATGATACAAGACGAACATTCGAAAAGTTTTTTTTAAAACACGAAATACATATAGGTCAGTAAAAAAGAAGAAGGATCTATTCTTGGCTGGCAGCCAACTTAATTGTTATAATAATCGGAGCGTTTTAAAAAAATCCCATTCCAGGCAACGTGACAGTTTTCTTTGAATAAGATTTTTTGCTTGAGTTCACTTCTTCTCATGCGCAACCATTAAACAAGAAATGTACTCTGTGGAACGACACCACATTGTCTAAAAAATTTCTCCCAACCTGAATTGAAGGTCTATTTGCCTTCATAATAATGGCCACGTGTAATGGCCTCGATAAACATTACATTGGAAACAGCAGAAGTTTAGAAAATGCTTCAATTTATGTAAGGTAATATTCATTTCCAAGGCCTTCAAAACTGCTGCGTTAGTTTATTTCCATCAGAGCAGTGCAGAAAACAATTAAAAAGTCCGAATCAGTGAGTTTTCATATTTTGAGAGAATGAACAATTGATGGAAAAAAGGAAAAAAAGAAAAAAGAGGAAACGCAGTTTTAACGGAATTCGAAATAAAGCAAAATTCCACTAAGAATCCAGTCTTCACCAAACATTACATTGATAGATGTACGCTGTTCATAGCCTTCTCCACAGGCGTGTCTTTGCTCTTTTCTCTCTCTTTTCCCATACTGGGCTTCCTGTGTTTGCTGATAGTTGACCAAACGGGACTAGTACCCAAGTAACCACTTTTCTTTCCCTCCCCTGCTCGCCTTAGTCCTCCTCGTATTCACCCCATCCCTCTCGAACAGCAGCAAAACCCTAGCGATCGAGTAGCCTGCGGAGGAGGCTACGCTGTTCAACTAATGTTTTCCTCTTTTGATAGTTAGGTACAAGGACGTAAGAACCTTGTTCTTTACCTCTACAGCAAAAATCCAAAAACGTCATTAATCAGAATTCTTTACAAAAAGAAACTAAAAAAAAAAAAAATTGTCTAACAGTATCACGCTGAATTGTCCTAATTGCGCAATGTTTTTTAGATGCATGTTTTCTCTATCTAAACTGATATACATAATTGTGAATTATTCTGAAAACCATATAGTTACAATACTCATATTATGTCATGTTTTCATCCGTCGGTCCGTTAGTCCTGTTACTTGCTTGCTTGTTTCCTTGTCTCTTGTTTCTTAATTTGGTGGTGCTATTCGGTTATTACGAGGTTTCCTGCAAGAAACGATATCCTTAAGACAACGACGAAAGTTCTCGCTCTGAAAGGAGTAAATAAATGGATTGATGGCCGAGTTGAATAGGACCATTATGGAGCCAGTGGCCGACATACCACTAATGGGGAAAGCAACGTTATCGTGCAAAGTTGCGTAGAGTAGGAGAGTAGGAATCCAGCACACAAGGAAAACAACACTGACAATGACCACCATCTTGGTTACTCTCTTCCTTGACTTCAACACGGCTAGTTGTGTACCTTGTACTTGGTTTTTCTTGAACCAAAGAGAGTAAATGACTCTGCTGTAAAAAACAAACATGATGGCAAGAGGCGCAAATCCTGCTGCTGTAAACCAGAGAAAACTGAATGCCTTCTGAAGCCATGATAGCTCTCTCGGCCATTCTTCAATACATCTCTTCTTTTCTTGATCGTGGTTTGATCGTTGTCCGAACATTGGTGCATTGAGAGCCGAGGCGAAAAGCCAAGATGTAACAACAATGCGTCCGACTTTCTTACAATTCAGCCTCAATCTGGCAGAATATGGATGCATGACTGCAAAGTATCTTTCAAAACAAATTGCAGCCAAAGAAAAGACAGAGGCAGCACCACCTACCCACGTCATGTTCCCAATAGATAAAACTTCGCAGAATATCTGACCTTTGCTTCCATCGGGTAGAGCAATAAAATACTGAAGAATTGAGCGAGGTACCAAAAATATCCCCACGATCATATCAGCCACAGCAAGGTTGACGAGGAGGTAGTTCATTGGTGATTTCATGGATTTATTGGTCAGAATGATCAGTATAACCAGGGTGTTTCCTATCATGTCCGTCAAAATAAGAATCCAAAACGTTATAGGAAATACAATGTTAGCGACATATTCTGACATTATAGAACCTGTTCGACCTTAATTCAGTATTGTAGATTCTTAATCAAATTGCTCTGGTTAGCAGTAGTATAGATAGTTTAACGCGATGCAATAGCTTCTTAGAATTCTACACGAAAACAGAAGTATATGAAGCGTCCATCTCAGTGAATTACATTTGGAAGCAAAGGACGAAATCTCAACTAATTTATAATACGATTTGCTTGTAAAGGTGTCTTCTTGAAGTTTGAATTTCCCATATTACTCTTAATAATTTGGTAAAATCCAATCCATGCTCAAAATTCCATCTCGGCCTGCGATTAAGCATTTATTGGTTAGCAACTAACAGCTGCCTTCCAAATGGTTAGCTAGTTGTTTGTCAGAGAGTGTACTCAAAGGCATTATATCTATTTTTTCCTTAGAAAAACTATTCTTCAGCGATTTTATTTGCCTGGTTTTTTTTTTACGTCATGACAATTTCCACAATTGCTGTGAATGGAGAGAAACCTCTAATTTTATATCCCCTAATCATGAAAACCTGTCAGGTTCAAATAAGCTCTACTGTAAACAAGTTTTCATTTGAAGCGTAGAGCTCAAAATTTCTGAATTCTGATTGGCTAAATAACATAGTATGGCAAATTAGCAGGATGACGTACGAAAACATCCAAATCAAGTTGCATCTGTTTTATTGGCAAAGATGGATTAAAATGGGCGACTTTTATTTAACTTCTGAATAAATGCCTGCAAAAATGACAGTTGTCTTTGAAAAAAAAGAAAGATATTTGTTGAGTAAAGCTAATTATATGAATACCACGTGACGAACAGTAATTAAAAAGAAAGTAGTTGAAAAGCTGAATGCTTTGATCAATGTCAGTCATCGCTGTGATTGGCTAAAAGGAAATGTGGCTTATTTATTTGTGGGCAAAGCTAATCATGTAGCTTCCAACCAATAAAATAGATTGGAAGAAAGTGATAAGAAAAGAGCAGCTGAGCTACAAAGACTTAGAGGGAAAATAATAATAATGATGATAATAGTAATAATAATAATAATAATAACAATAATAATAATAATAATAATTTATTTCTTGAAAAACGCATAACTACTAAGTCTCGATGCTTTTTACAGGTATTGGGAAAAATAAAATAGAAATATATAGAAAATATGTTCATATATATTCAAGCACCTAAGGGATTTAGTCGATTCTTGCAAGTTTTTCTGCAGCAAAGAAGTTTCCTCAATTCACGACGAAAATTCTCGCTTTGAAGTGAATAGATAAATGGATTTATGGCCGAGCTGCACAGAACCAGTATGGAAAGCACTTGGATGATGTCTGTCATAGGAATATCTACGACATGCACATGATGCTCGATAAGTACATAGAAAGTGAGAGTAGGAAACCAAGTTAGGAAGTATACAACACTGACAGTGACCATCATCTTGGTTACTCTCTTTCTTGACTTCAACACGGCTAGTTGTGTACCTTGTACTTGGTTTTTCTTGAACCAAAGAGAGTAAATGACTCTGTTGTACAAAACGAACATGATGGCAAGAGGCGCAAATCCTGCTGCTGTAAACCAGAGTAGGCTGAATGCCTTAGAAAGCCATGATGGCTGTCTTGGCCACTCTTGAATACATTTTTCCTTTTCTTGGTCGTAGTCCATTACTACGAAAAGTGAGGAAACCAGAATTGAAGCGAAAATCCACGACGCCATAATAATGCGTTTCGCAATGTGAAATGTAAGCTTCAGCCTTACAGAATAAGGATACATGACAGCAAGGAATCTTTCGAAGCAAATCGCCATTAGAGAGAAGACAGATGCAGCACCTCCAATCCAGGCGAAGTTCCCAGAAATAAAAACTTTGCAGATTATCTTACCTTCGATGCCAACGGGATGGGGAAGTAAGTATTGGAAAATCGCCTTTGGTATGACGAAGGCACCTACCATGATGTCTGCTACAGCAAGGTTGAACAGGAGGTAGTTGATTGGCGATTTCATGGATTTATTTGTCAGAATGATCAGTATAACCAGGGTGTTTCCTATCAGGTCCGTCAGAACAAGAATAGAAGAGACGGTTGGAATAACAACTTTGGAGAAAGAGCCAGTCATGATTGTCAGTTGAATTAGCTTGAATCCGTTGCTATTGAGAGCACCTCTTGTAATAATTGAACTACCCTTTACAACAGAATCACCATCACTGCTAGGTGTGATACAAAAGGTGTTGGCTTAATTTATTCACATTTTACTAGATTATTGGTGACTTATTAATTGGAACATCCGGATTTCACCATTTCTTCAGGTAATACGTATATTGATATTAATTTTCAAGAATCGCTCACCTTGAAAGAAATGACAATAAGTAAATAATTAATTTTCTTTCTTCAAGGTATGACCCGATTTATTTGTTCGTTTGTGCTCTTCTTCCGACATCTGCGTTAAAATTATTCAAGTTTAATTAGCGTGGACACACTAACTGCATCAGACCATCTCGACTAATTAAAAAAACATTTTGATTTAAAAAAAAGACAACGAAAAACAAAAAGAAAAAAAACCAAAAAAAAACCAAAAACAACAACAACGAAAATAAAAGACAAAAAAACAAAACAAAACAAAAAACAAAACAAAA